TTTTTTTTTTTTTTTTAATTTTTCCTCAAGACGATCTTAAATGGGGATGAGAATAGTTTGGTCTTTGAAAATTTGAATCCAGATACGTTATATGATGTGTCAGTTACTGCCATCTATCCTGATGAATCAGAAAGTGATGATCTCATTGGCAGTGAACGAACATGTAAGTAAATAAAGGATTTCTGCATGTTATTATTCATAGTTATTAAATCAGAAGGCGTACAGATACAAGAATTCTGAAAACTCTTTCTACTTTTTTCTAGTACCCTTGGTACCTATCACCACACAAGGTAAGAATCTGAACTTCCAGATACGGTATCATTAAAGAAAACTCATAGCTATCTTTTTCTAAACTGTGAAGAATATTTACATTAAAAAGCTGAGATCATTTAATAAATATTATTGTGTATTTGAAAGAATACTAAACACTAGATTACCACATGTTTATTATTTTACAAACATTATGATTTATGTTGTCTTGTACTTAATACATTCTGCTCTTGGTCAGGCATTCATGCAACCTTAAAAGTATGAATGAAGTGTTCGTCCCTGATTTTTGCTTGAATTACATATTTATTCTTTTCTTTGTTACATTTCTCAGCCCCAAAGAGTGGCCCACGAAACCTTCAGGTGTACAATGCCACTTCACACAGTTTGACTGTAAAGTGGGATCCTGCCAGTGGTCGAGTGCAGAGATACAGGATCATTTACCAGCCGATCAGTGGGGATGGCCCCGAACAATCGGTAACTGGTCTTCAAGTACTAGAGTTATTCAACCTTAAATGATAGTTCTTCAAAGTAATCCATCAGAATAACTTATTTTCAATGCAAAACAGTGTATATATTAATCACCTTTTAGATGAAGATTTATGTTTATAATGAATAAGTATATATTCCCACCTTTTTCTTTCTTCTCTTTCAAATCCAAGATAGAATGCTCTTTATGGAGCTAAACCAACTTTGCATACAGCCTGCTTTGTTGAAAATCACATAATCCATAGATAAAACTAGAACAAAGTTAAAATGTGTTGAGGAATGAGTCAACCAGCACGAGATCACAAGTCACAGTTATATCGTTGTCACAACAGTCAATAATATGAGCTATCATGGCTACTTCCATAGTCCAGAGTTTTCTATTGTTTTCATGGTGTGATTCATGTGCTATCAGAAGGACTTTGCCATGGAACATACTGTGGACAGTTGAGACTCTTACCATGCTAGGGACAGGATAACTACCCAGAAGCAGCAGTTTCAGAAATTAATCCATGCAAAACACATGCTAGGGAAGTGTTTAAGGTATTTTAGTGTCTTTTAATATGATAGCACAGCTGTAATGATAGGGAGAGCCAGTACTGTACGATCAGCCAGCTTTCCATGCATCGTCAGCAAGAGCTGTGTTGGCTACTGGCGACCTACACAACACAGCCTGGGAATGGTAATTCAGTCAGCCTGTTTATCAGAAGTGTGTGCTACTTAAAAATGTACTATTCTGCAGTAGGAGGCTCTTGTGGTTACTGCCAGATGACTCAGATGAACAGTCTCGGATGAGAACCACACTCATTTAGCTTATTCCTGTAATCAGAGATCACACATGTTCAGAAGCGTATCTAGGAATGTTTACTTCAGAATCAGTTGGATACTTATGCACCCGTTTTTACTGTCTTCTGAAAAAACATGCATTTGAGTTGAGGTAATTGAACTGTTGAATGAATTGAGTAGTTGAATGCAAGTTTAGTGAGAAATCACTAGAAGAATAAGGAACAGCAGTAAGGTTAATTAACATCTGTAATTAATTGCTGGTACTAAAGTAAAAAAAAAAAGAATTGTGAGCATTCTGTTGAAATTTGTGCAAAGAATAGACTTAATAGACTTATTCATAACTGGATAGAGTCCAGCAGTGGAAGTCAGAGAAGACACCTCTTTTGGAGGAGAGCACACATAACACTCATGCTCTGTTCATGGTATTTTAATGTCTGTCTGCAAGTAATTCTCAGTCATATGATAGTAATTCCCTGTCTGCTTTTTCTGTTACTGTGATATTTGATTAAACTGCAGTTGCTGGATAGGCAATAGCAGTGGCCCCACTGAAATACTTAAAATAGAATTTCTGGAAGTTTTTTATTGCTCTATTTGACATTTAATGGCCTCATCACCAAGAAAGAGCACAGGTGATTTGAAAACAACTCTGAAAAAAATGCACACTAAACTCCAGAGACCATCATAATAATTTAGATTTTGAAAGGCAAATAGATACTAAAATATGGAGGCATCCACGATGGGATGCTAAAAGCATTTATGCTTTGAACTGACCTTTATACACTTGAGTACAAATAAAAAATTTCCTTGTAAACTAAAATAATCTACTTCTATGAAATGTGAAGATGTATAAATGCTTGCTCATTATCAGTTCCTCATCAGAAGCTTTTAAATGTTATGACAAGCTTGTTAGCTAAATAGGCTTTGAAAATGTGCAAGTAGTCTTAAAAGTACAACGGATGCTCTTGAGCAAGTGTAATTTCACATAATTTAAAACCAAAAAGCTCACGATTCACAAATGCTGAAGATCTGAGTATTATGCTCAGGGCACTGTAAATCTTTTACTTGTTAGAGATTATGATCACAAGATTATATGCAAAATAAAAATTGAAATGAAAGATGTATAATGATTTTAGACTCTTAACAAAGATGTTTTAGAAGCTGAAGTATCATGCTGTGAAATTTTTGAAATCAAGGAGAAACAATGTTGATATTGTATCAAATGTACATTAGAGATCTATATAGTGTTTTAATTTATTCCTTGTTTGTATTCTACCTGAGAGTGGAGCATAAAGAGCCCAATTTCAAGACTGTCAAAACGAATAAAAGACTCTCATTGATTTCAATATGATAAAGTCAGAGGCAATGCAGAGAAACAGCTCTGCACTGGCATAGAACTGACAGTTGATATGTAATTGTGGTTATATGCAAGTTTGGAGGTCTTAAAGAATACTGGCTTTGTGTCACTGAGCTCTGTCTAAACTGGCCAAGATGAATATGTACTAAATATTATTATTGTTCAATGTCTACCGTCAGTGTCAGTCACAAGAGCATTGCAGCATATAATGTAACATAGCATTTTCCTCTCTGCATCAAACGCTTACATTCTTCACTATAACAGTAAGCATATAAGGGATAGCATAAAAGGGATTTTAATATTTTTCTTTTGTTTTACTGTAGACTGTGGTTGGAGGGCGGCAGAACAGTGTGGTGATACAGAAGCTGCAGCCTGATACACCATATGCTATTACTGTGTCGTCAATGTATGCAGATGGTGAAGGGGGACGAATGACAGGACGAGGCAGAACAAGTGAGTAACTTCTTGAGACCTTTTTACTGCGTGCGAAACAATATTGATGTGTTACTTTTCAAATTAGCTGAGAAAAAATTCTTGTGGTGAAGTTCCTCCCATCTGTATTTCTCATTTGTCCTTTGATGGGTTTCAAGTATCTAAAGTAAGAAGGCCTGTCAGTCTACTGGCTGTAGAGAAATCCTGGGCCACTACCCTAGACTCTATGCCCAGCTTTTAAGGCTGAGAGAAACCCTAATGCTACAGTGGAACTTCATCCTCATTTTAAACTGTTTAATTGTCTTATACCACAGTTTAGTAAACATCTTAGAGCATCTGAAGGCATGTGACTCTCAAGTGTGCTGTTAAGTTTTTACTGTTTTCCTGTCAGCACTCTCAGTTCAGAGGCTGAGCTTTGCAGTAAGCACTTTGAGACTCTACCATTTTATGTTGATAGCATTGTTTTGATCCTGCTGTAGAAAGCACTGAGTGATTTGCTACCAGAGGCACTTCAGGCATAAAAAAGAATTCATATTTTTAATTTCTTAATTATTTAAGTATAAATTTACTAATAAATTTATTAATTCATTTATACTTAGTTTACTTTTGAGCCTGCAATGGAAAGACAGCCGTAGCAATGTGTCTGGTGAGGAATGAAGAAAAAAATCCTAATTAAATCATTGTATCATTCCAAAATACTGTCCAGAAAGAAATTTTTCTTGCTATATTTAGCATTCCTTGTGCTGTAGGATGGGGCTGATATATTCTGATTAATTAAGACAAATAACATTTAACATGAACTATAAACCAGTTGTTTTTTAAATTTCCTAATGATTCATTACATAGACATGACCTGACAGCACAAGTGAGAGGATATATCCACATTTCTGACATTGATCTGTTTCAGAACCTCTCACTACTGTGAAGAACTTGCTAGTTTATGACCCAACCACTAGTACACTGAATGTTCGATGGGATCACGCAGAAGGGAATCCACGCCAATATAAAGTGTTTTATGGACCTACTGCCGGAGGTGCAGAAGAAATGGTAAATACTTTGTATGGATCTCACTGTCTCAGATAAATTGTGGCTCATGGTGCTAGTGACAGAAATACTGCTGAATGAAGTGAGTTTTGTTTGCCTATACACTGGCTTTTTTTTCTGTTCATAGCTACCATGGAGAAAATGCAGAGCACCTCCATGAAAGTTAGTTACTCTCATATGTATTAGAATCATAGAATAGTTAGGGTTGGAATGGACCTCAAAGATCATCTAGTTCCAAACCCCCATGCCATGGGCAGGGAAACCCTCCACTACACCAGGTTGCCCAAAGCCTCATCCAACCTGGCCTTGAACACTTCCAGGGATGGGGCATCCACAACTTCTCTGGGCAACCTGTTCCAGTGCCTCACCACCCTCAGAGTGAAAAATTTCTTCCTTAGATCTAATCTAAATCTGCCCTCTTTCAGTTTAGAGCCATTGCCCCTTGTCCTATCACTACATGCCCTTGTAAAAAGTCCCTCTCCAGCTTTCCTGTAGGCCTCCTTTAGGTACTGGAAGGCTGCAATAAATTACAGATGTTTGTGTATATAGTAGATCTTCGGTAATTAGTTCTTAGCACAGGGATTTGATACCACACACAATTTTTTGTTTGTGTATTCTTAGGGCAGTGCATGTGAATGTAAAGCTGACTTCAGGGTGTACAAAAGACTATAAAGTCAGCGGACCTCATTTTTACCTCTTTTGAATGCTAAGAAGTCATGTGACTGTAGGCAGTCAGCCAGGATGATGTTTGTGAAAGCAGAAAAATCCACATAAGTGTCTTATTCTAACCTAAAATTACTTGACTGCTAAAGAGCTAAAACAATCTTGAAAATAGGAAGTCTCGTTGCAGACTGAGAAAATATTTTTCTTTCCCACTTGTGTTCCTTTTTCCACATCTTTGCAATTTGATGTGCCTGTGAAATGAGGAGTACATGAATTGCCACAGTTTCAACAGCATCTAGAGAGCTACTGATGATAAATATTCTTAAATGCTGTGGAGTTTTACTTTCTAACATGAGCTGCTCGTTATGTCTTGTCATTAGCATGTTGTAGTGTTATGTAATGTTTATCTTTCTGATTTAGAAAATGACCTTTTAATGCCTCTGAGCTGCTGAATAGTGGTCATTAAAGAGATCACTGCAGATTCTGCTACTGTTATTAGTAGAATAGGATCTGAACCTAAAAGTGGAGATAGCTGTAAGGGATTGTATAAGAGAGCATATGATTTAACAACCATTTTTGTTAAATCCAAGACAGAACCTTCTTGAAAGGCAATTCCAGAAGATACCATGAACTTCAAGCTTCACCTTTTGTAAAGTTTTTATCACATCCAGTCTAGAAATGAGATGTCGTGGAGTGAGGGAGATACAAAAAAGCTTAAACTTTTTGCATATTTATGTAGATGTCATGCCCTTACCTTTGTTTTTTAAATTTTTAGACCACAGTACCAGGAAACACAAACTATGTCATCCTGAGGACTCTTGAACCCAACACACCTTACACTGTAACTGTGATTCCAGTTTTCCCAGAGGGGGATGGTGGACGTGTCTCTGACACTGGAAGAACTTGTAAGTAAAATAATCCTTTTCAAGAAAACTTTAAGATTTTTTTTCTGTGAGCAGCTCAGACGGTTAGAAATTGATTTTGCATCAAATAGGTAAGTTTATTTTCCATAAAGCTAAAACATAAGCATAAGAAACTCTGTTTACCTGTTTGGTTATGGATGCAGCTCTGTAACTTATTCTGTTTTCTTTGCTTATTCAGGTGGTGGCTTCCACACAATAGTAAAATTTTAATTGTAGTGCCAGTAACAGTACTGGTGAAAAAATGGCAAATACTGATGTTAATCCATGCTAGTGTCCATACACGTATTTACAATTTTCAAGGGAGTTGGAACTCCTAATGCCAGCATGAGCTGAAATGTCTAGTTTATGGCTACTTTTCATACCTGTCTGATCAACAACAGGGTATCAAAGTGTTATGATCATACTTTCAATTTGCGACATAAACATATGTTTTATGGGTATAAGCTTAGTCAGGGGAGGTTCAGGTTGGATGTTAGAAAGAATTTCTTCTCTGAAAGGGTTGTCAGCCACTGGAATAGGCTGCCCAGGGAGGTGGTTGTGTCCCCATCCCTGGATAAGTTTAAGAAAAGGGTGGATGTACTGCTTAGGGACATGGTTTAATGGGGGATTAGGGACGGTTGAACTGGATGATCTCTAAGGTCTTTTCCAACCTAGAAATTCTATGATTCTATGTACTTTGCTGCCTGGCAGGGTTGTTTGTAAGGACTAATAATTGAGATTCTTAGATTTATAGCTTTTGTGAGTGACAAAAGTAATGTCTTTATCTTGGGCTGATGTATTTTTCAGCTTCCTTTGGGCACTGCTATAAATTCAAGTAGAACTAGAACTTATGTAAGCAACTTCGTAAAACTTAATTTACATTATCCTTGATCTAGTGGAGAGAGGAACACCAAGAAACATTCAAGTTTACAATCCTACACCAAACAGCATGAATGTGCGATGGGAACCTGCTCCAGGTCCAGTACAGCAGTACAAAATTAATTACTCTCCACTGTCTGGCCCAAGGCCATCAGAATCTGTAAGTAATAAAGTTTTTATATTATTCCTTAAAAGTGTGTGGAGGATATTGCTTCCTTCAATTAATGGAGAACAATAATAATAAACTCAAGCCAACTGTCTGCCTAGGAGTGTCCCTGCTGAAAACACTGTGTCTACAGGAGTTTAGTCCATTGTAAATAAATGCTTAATTTGCTGAAATAAAAGAAATAAGAAATAAGACTCTCTGATTTAAAATTGAGTATTGAGATTATTAGGATTGAGTATCCTTTATCATATTGCAAGTAAAGATGAGTTAAAACCCTTTTTTTTTTTAGAAAAAAGACAGAAGGAAACAGCAAATATCTACTAGGAAATTTTTAATTATGAAACCAGATGCCAAGTTTATGTGATTTTACCACTAAACCATCTGTATCTGTTTACCCTAAATCGTCAGTGTTTAAGTAGGTCTTGGCGAGCAGTGAAGTCTGGATATGGGTAAAAATTTGCCCTCCAGATATGAAGCAAGAGTTCTTGGATTTGTGTACAAATAGGTGCAGTTTTAGAGCTAAGCCTGTGAATGTACTCACACAAAACGCACACCCATATTGTACATGTACAGATGAGTATGTTTTTATGTAAGGAAGCATAAGAAGTTTTAATGAATCATTTGCATCCGTAAAATGAAACTGTATATTACTTCACATGTGAGTGGGAACCTGACTAGTAGTATCTATTAGAAAATATCCTGTATATGTCAGTAAACCATGACAGCATTTGCTTTTTTGATGTATGTTCCTGAATGTTTGTTCTTTTTTGTGAACTATTTTTATGTAAAATGTAAACGATAACATTTTAATTGCAGAATGAGAGTTTCTTATGTATTTATATTTTTTTTTCTATCTACTCTTGAATTTTTATCAACATTGATTATTTTAAACTTGTATTATTTTTCTTGGAAAATGTGGAGCATGGTCTTGTTCTCAATTTTTCTATATTTCATTCAAATTTTTAATTCTAAAAGGACATGGTATAAACTGAAGCTTTTTTTATGTAGATATCTTTTGTTTCTGTTTTAGATTGTGGTACCAGGCAACACTCGTGATGTGATGCTGGAGCGCTTGACTCCTGACACTGCTTACTCAATAAATGTTATAGCTCTGTATACAGATGGAGAAGGAAATCCAAGCCAAGCACAAGGAAGAACACGTAAGAGGCAGACAGTACTTGCTTTGCTAAATATGTGTCAAAATTGGTGTGTGAAGAATTTATAAAATCGGTTGCAATCACGAATTGTGTAAGCCATTCAGTGCAACTCTGAGATCAATGCATCTGAATTATAGCTGGAGCAATTACAGGCCTCCACAGAAGGAAACTTTTTCTGTGTTTTCTGGCAGTTGTGGTACAAGCATAATCACTAAAGTAATTTTCACTTGTGAAATAAGCCTAATTTGAACATTTAAGAGTTTAAAAGCTGTTCTTTAAAATATGGTTAAGATAAATAGCAGTTTGTCTTTTGGAAAAAAAATAACACATTAAGATGGGTAGAATTTGCTTCAACAAATGTTCTGTGTCTTACATGATAATTCCCCAGATTTTTTTTTTTTTTTTCCTGGGGATGCCACACTTGGCTTGTGGGATCTTGGGTGACTTACTCTTCGCTTCTTTAAAATTCATTCTAGAAATAATGAGTAACGAAACTGTCTGTGGCAAGAATAGGTCACCTCTCTTTCATTGCTTCTGTGATTTTTCTGCTAAATCCCCGTATTCATCTAAAACTTGCAGATGTGACAGGCTATAATTATACTTGTTTACAAGAGTCTGAGAAACAGAATGTATGTAGATGCTCATTTTGCTCATCCCTCTGATGTTCTCTCCCTTCCATACTGCTCCAGTTCCCCTAGTTAAGGCCATCTTTCTATTTAAGAACTTCAGGCACTGCTATATTATCATTGACTAAATCTACCTGTATGTGTTTGTCCAGGGTTTCATGGAGGGTCCTTAGCTTTGGCTTCAGGGCAACATTTGAATCAGTGAGAGTGACACTAGACTGGAAGCATCATTTCTATACAACCTTCTGTATTTTTTTTCTTTAGTGCCTCGCAGTGGTCCAAGGAATGTGAGAGTGTTTGACGAGACCACAAACAGCCTTTCTGTACAATGGGACCATGCTGATGGGCCTGTCCACCAGTACAGAATCATTTATTCACCCACTGTGGGAGACCCTATCGATGAATATGTAAGTTTTGTAATTCCTTAGTAAGCACCGAGACGTTCTCAGTTGATTCTTTAGGCTACAGAAAAACAAAGACACCTGTTCTACACATAGCACACTTTGCATGCTTCATGGGTTCTTTAGTCATTGTTGTCGATGCTGAGGAGCCATGTTTTGTATGAAACAGTTGTTGGTGTTTTTTTTTTTTCAAAGTCACAGAACATACACAGTTTCATGAACGATCTTGTGTGTAAAATAATGTTAAATATGTGAGTCACATTAATCAGAAGATTCTGAGCAGAACCTGCTTCCTAACATTTAGTTCAAACATTGTGCTACTGTGAATAGCCATCTATTACTTCATACTCTATCCATTATGAAGTCAGTGTGGTAAGACACAGAATAAACATAAGTCTGCATTTTATAGATTGAAGAGAGTTGGCAGAGTTTAATAAGAAAACAATGGTAACTTTAATTCTGCATCTAGCTTGCTTTTGTAAGTTTCAGTGTGAATTCTCTTTGTGTTTAATTTCCGGCAGCTTAATGAGAGCACAAGTTAATCTGATGCTTGTAAAATTCTCTGTTTATAGCAAAGCCAAACTCAGATCCTACAGAGGTCAATTGCAGAATTCTTGCTGACTGCCACCAGCCAAAATGTAACATGTATAGAGAAATATTTAAATGTTATTACTTCTTATGTATTATTGCATAGGGCATGCTGAAAATTCACTGTTTGATAAGTCCCTAATGGACCTGTTGCTTAGGACACACATATTTTTTAACACATGTATCTTCTTTGCAGAAATATATATTTCCTAAAAATAGCAAGTCTCAAAAAACTGAAAATTATTATCAAGTAATAATGGAAAATGTTGACTGAGATACGCTTTTGAGACGGATACCTCAAGTTACTTTCTGTAATTTCAGCACTTTATGGCCACTTTATGGAGCAGTGTCACTTGCTCCATAAATTATTAAATTATAAATTATAAATTATTATATCTACCTTTTCATTAGAAGGGAGCAATAGTTCATGGCTGCACCAGGAAGCTGAGATAGAGGGATGCATAAATAGGCATGTTTTTGCATATCAGAATATTTAGAGCTTCCTTCTCAGACTAACTTGTTCCTGCCAAGAAAATGATATCTTAAGATGAGGATAATGAAAATGTAGACATGAAACTGATGAATAGGGTGAATTACTTTGACTTCCACTCCCATTTTAGGAGCTTTTTCCTTTCTTTTTCTGTCTCTAAACACATCATCATGACTTTTTCCTTTCTATGAGGGAACAGTTCTGAAATCTTGGTGAGGAATTGCAGCATCTCAGTCTGATGCGAGGGTAGAGACTGAGAAGTCAATTCGATTTATCTTTTTGTGCTAACCAGTGTTTTATAATTTAAAATAACAAATACTAATAATTGTTTATAGGCTATAAACTTTAAGATATCCCAAATGAATTTATCTACAGTGGACGCAAAAAAAGTGCACCAAGTGTCAAACCAAACTTTTAGTTCTAGTTATTGTTGTTATTGGTCAGTTACAGGACTGTGAGGTATTTTAGCTCTGTTTCTTTTGTGTTCTAGACAACAGTTCCTGGGATAAGAAATAACGTGATACTACAACCACTGCAATCTGACACGCCGTATAAAATTACTGTTGTGGCTGTGTACGAAGATGGAGATGGTGGACAACTGACTGGAAATGGCAGAACTGGTAATTAGTTTTAATATTGTATATTCTTTTTTAGATTTAAGACACATATTCCTCGACCACTTGAACATTGTTCAGGTTTCTTTATGTCTTTGAAGTGATTATTACCCAACAGAATTACAATATAAGTTTCTAGAGGCTGAGAAACAGTCACTAGCCTAATTAGAGTGTTTGTCTTTCTTTTTAGTTGGCCTACTTCCTCCTCAAAATATGTATATAACTGATGAATGGTATACACGATTCAGAGTTTCCTGGGATCCTTCACCATCCCCTGTTCTTGGCTACAAAATTGTATACAAACCTGTGGGTAAGAAAACCTGTTCATTCTGCATATATCACTTTCAGAATAGTGAGTAACTACTAGGAGATCAGAATAGAAATTGTATGTGTCATAAAGTGTTTGTGTTAAAGGATTTATTTATTCCTTTGTTTACGGATTTTGATGGAAGCTGAGGTCTTATTATCAGTATTTTATAAGAAGCACAAACTATCAAATATAGTGTTTCATGCACCCAATTACAGAAATTGACTTGTATAGTTAAAATTTAATACAGTGACTAGGAAAATGTCCTGGACCAGACTTGGATTTCCTCCCTTTAATACCTTTTCTCCTTCTGGGAATATGAACTGGTATATGTGAGATGAGTATTGGTCAGGTATTTAGGTACTAACGTCCTTCAGAACCTCTGTTTTATGTGACAGTGGAGCTATATACATACCTTTCTACAAGTTAAATTAAACACGAACATTGCAAAATAGCTTATTAAGCTATGTGTCTGTTCTGTTTGCAACAGTCTACTATACTAAAATGTAAGAAATGAATATATTTTCTTTTTGAAAAAAAAGAGATCAACACAATGACATGTAAAAGATGACGGATAGATTTGTAGCTCACCTAATGATGAATCTTTCTCTCTTTCTGTACTTTCTTAATGCTTCCTTTCAATTCAAGGTTCAAATGAGCCTATGGAGGTTTTTGTTGGAGAAGTGACTTCCTACACCTTGCATAATCTATCTCCCAGTACTACTTACGATGTGAATGTTTATGCCCAGTATGATTCTGGAATGAGCATACCTTTGACAGATCAAGGCACTACATGTAAGTCAAAATAATCTTGTTGTAGTCATGCTAGATACATATGCTGATCTGAGATAATGTTGATTAAGAGAGGATTTTTTAAGGCTGGCTATTAGAAAGTCTGAATATCCTCTCATGGCAAATGCTTACTGTCTGTCCATGATGTAGATCTTAAAAACACTAAGCTTGGGAACAGTAACGGAAATATAGTTTTAAGTAATGATTTGATGATATAAAATTTTCTAGTTTGCTTCCTAAAATTTCATCCAACTATAGTTGGAGTGAATCTTTAACTGTCTCTAGTGTGCTACAGAATCTAACCATGCTAAGCAGGTCCAGGCTTTTTGCTGCTCTGCCTTTATCTCACA